ATCAGCTGAGGAAGCTGGAGGGATGGATGGGCTCAGAAACGTTGCTAGTGGGTACCCATCACTGAATCACATACTGTATGTCAAATTCAATGTGCAGATTTTTAGTTTTTTAATATTTGGTTTAAAATCTCATACAGAACACTGGGACTAAAATGGAGATTGTTAATTGTCTTGATAATTTTCCAGGAGAGTTAAAGTCATAATTGCCACCAAGTCTCTTAGATACCATCTATTTGTAGAGAAAACTGATTACGCTTGCTTTCCCACATCTCCTTGCCTCCAGGGCCCGGGACATCTTGTCTGACACTCCCTGCCCCTATAAAGGCACGTGTTTCATTTCTACATATTTGAGTGAGAAATATGAGTTCTGATGCCATTCTTCCTCTGAATCAAGTCCTGAACAAAATACATCCCCATCCTTCTAAGCCTCATGAGAACACAGGGACATGGACACCAAGGAATGGCTTCTCTGTGGCAGAAACCCAGGGGTAACCATCACTTCTGAAAGCCGAGTTTCCCCACTTATGCCAACTTGGACTTTGTAGGCCACAGAGTTCAAGGGTGTTTCTCTGGAGCAGAGTGACATGACGGATTTGGGTTTGGAAATCAGCAGGCAGGGGTATGGTTCCCAAGGCTTACAGTGAGGTATGGTTCCCAAGGCTTACAGTAAGCTGAGCCTGGAGCTTATACACATCAACAGTGTTAGAGGGGGTTTCCGCTCCAAAAATGACATGATGTGATCCAGTCGGGTCAAGGGTCCACATGTGTTCTGCAAGTAACACACGCCAATATCCTGGAACCACATGGCAGGGCAAGGAGCTCCCACTTTGAGATGCACACCAGAAACGAGGCTGGAGTGTAGCCGAATCCATCTCCTGTCTACCGCTCTGCTTCCGCTGGGGCTCCTGGATCTGCATGAGCCTCTCTGCCAGTCAGCCTTGTGCTCCAACTAGGACTGACTGATGGACCCCGGCTGAAGCTGGTTAAAAGGCCATTCCAGCCTGCCTTTCCTCTGTCACCTGCTTGGCAGTTTCTCTACCAATCACTCGCTTCTACCCAGAGGAGCAGTTCAGAGACACTTGTCATGGCTCTAACCAGTAAGATCAGAGTAAATTCTGGGAGACATTCTCATGGCAAGGCAAGGGGCAGCAGGCACTGTCCTCGCTCCAGTTTGACCCTCTGCTGCACTTTTCCCTTCTGTGGGCCTTCTCTGGTCTCCCGCACTCCCAGTGGCTGGCCTCTATAATAGTCCTTAAAGACAATCCTTGAGCTGGTCTTGCCCATTGGACCTGGAGCTAGTGAGAGCTAAGTGTGACTAGGAATATATCCCCATGCCATGTGTGCATGATCTGAAGTGGGCAGTTTTGAAGGATTAGAAAAGAAGGTCAGAGGCTGTGTGGTCAGAGTCCAGAGGCACTGGCGATAGCTGACGTGGGCTGAGCTATCCAGTTGGCGGATCTAGGCTTTAGGGGGCAGGGAAGGTCAGTTTGCGGAATTGGATCTTTATGTTAAAGGAGTGGAGAACCAGTCATAAAGTAGGAATGAGATGGAGTCGAGATTGAGCAGAGTTGGGCATGGTTGTACGTGGCTGTAATCCCGTATTCGGGAGATGGAGGCGGGATTAAAAGTTCAAGTTTGGCTTCATAGCAAGTCTGAAGCCAGCCTGCATTACCTGAGGGCAGAGCAGAACAAGAATGACAGAGAGACAGAAGGACAGAGAGACAGGGAGAGGCAGCCAGCAGCCAGCCAGACACATGCACGCACGCATGCACATGCACACAGACACACACAATTGGAGGACAAGCACTGAGGGTGAGTTGCTAGAGCTATAACTCCAGTGTTCGAGGGGAGAAACAGTAGAGGCTACAGCTGGCAGGATGGCGATGGTGGTCATACTATATTAATGTAAATATAAATAAACGTAAAATACTAGGTGTTCATGTGTTTGAACACTTGGTCCCCCGCTGGTGCTGTTTTGGGAGGTGGGATCTAGCTGGAGGAACCGCTAAGGGTTGTAGCCTGGTCCCACTTCCTTCTGGTGTGCAGAGATGTGAGCCAGCCGCTTTCTGCTCCTCCCGCCCCAGCAGACACAGCCTGGCTCCTGCCCGTCTACCTTCCCGGCCATGGGGAACTAACTGTATCCTCAAACTGGGAGCCAGATAAGTCCACCTCCTTACGCTGTCTCTTACCAGGTCATGGTGACCACGTAAACACTGACATTGTGGTAGGAATATGGACAAATGACCTGAAAAGCCAGGAAGAGCAGAAGCTGGGGTTTATTTCGTTATTAAGGCTCCTCTTTCAGCCAAGATCTGAACTTCCATCCTGGCGGTGAGGGCTTGTAAGATGACCACACAGTTTCTACTACTAAAACAACGTTCAACCCTTGAAGAGCAGTTGTCTGAAGCTCTTCTGAGAAAAAAAAAAAAAAAAACTCTGGTATTTAAATTTAAATTTAAAGTTCATTCTTACTTTCAAAGAATTCAAAGATACAACATATAAGGGCTGGCTAAAGGGCTTGGTGGTAAAGGTGGTTGCTGCTAAGCTTGAGAACGGGTTTGATCCTGAGCACATGCATGCTGAAAAGAGAGAACTGACTCCCTAAGTTGTCTTCTGACCTCCCCAGGTGTGATGTGGCAGGGGTTCCCTCCAATAAATAAATGAATGAGTAAATGGAATGATTTTTTTTTAGAAAGACAAATGTATAAAAACGAAATCTGACAACAAGGGTGTACTTATTTATTTTACCTTTTATTTTCTGGCAGTTCCGGGGCTTGAACCCAGGTCTCACATAGACTAGGCAAACACTCTTGCCATGGAACTACATCTTTAGTCTCTGGACTGATAACTCTAAAAATAATCTCACAAGAGAGAGAAGGCACATACCTGTACTAGTCATACACACATATTCATTCAAATGTACATATGGATGCATATTTTGAATTATCCTAAAACCATAACCTAAAAGGGAAATCTTTACCAAATATGCAGACATAAACAGTAAACTTTATAGAAAACAGTGCTGGTTAGAAAATGTGCAAGTCACACGTAAACATTTCTAAGTTTGTGAGCCGTGCATAATTCCACATTTTGCGCTGATGACGTCATGCTTTCCTGGGGGTCTCAAGTCACACTACACAAGCTGTGCAGATAGTCTCAAAGTACACATCTATTACCATTATCACTTTGAATAGACAAAAAAATTAAGGCGCGGAAAGTCCCATTCTTAGAGTTTTAATGAGTACCTTTGAGCGGTGGCTAAATCTCAGGACACAGCCCCGCACTGCAGACCCTAAATTGGGTACCCTGTGTTGTCTCTGTGAAAGCAGACTGAAGCCTAGAGCCCACAGTCACACATACATGCACACTCACACACATGTGCCAGCACACGCACAGCTTAGAAACTGCTGATTTCATTCATCCACACTCCAAGACCACAGAGGAAAGGGCACCAATGACACAAAAGCTACAGAGTCCCCTGCATGAGCAAGGCATTCTCAAACAAGGAGCTGTCGTCACTAAAGAACTTCTTAAAATGTTCAGTCTGTAATCTGGCATGAAGCAGAGTTATAATAAATGGATTGTCAGACCATCTCAGATCCCCAGACAATTAAGCCATCGTAGGACTTTCTTTGTAAACTGGCAATGAGAATTAAGGCTTGGGAGCAGAAACGCTTAGCAACCTTTGCTAGAATGGCTGACCATCAGGAATAGCTGACTGTTGGCCTCCCAGTGATATCACAGAAGAGGGATGGGCAGCAGGTTCTTGAACAAGTCCACAGAAGGGAGGAGGGTTGTGATTGGCTGATGTAAACCAGGTGAGGTCTGGGGGTGGGGTTGCCATTCCTGAGCTGATGGTCTCTGTAAACATCATTGAGTAGACAAAAGCTTCTAGAATAGTTCTGCAGAAGGCACTGTGAGCCATCCATGGCAGGCTGTCCCATCCTCAGGTCCTTGACGTTTGCCATCTAGGAACACCGAAGCCATAAGCACCATTCTTGCAGAAGGGGAGAGATTGCTGGTCTCGATCTCGGTGGGAAAAAAAAATCTGGAAAATCAAGTAGACACCCATCATAGGTCACACAGGATACTTCAATCATCCGAAAACAAAAAAACTAAAATTAAAATTACCACAGGTGTCTGCCCAAAGTGTAGCTGACTGAGCGAAATGTGCCCTCCAGCCTTGCTGATGCCTGGGGCTTGTAATTAACATGCCTTCCGCCATCACCACTTCATGTGGCCTCTCAGAGTTTGACATGTTTTCTGTCCCTTACAGACACCATGGAAGTATTTCTGTATTTCTTGGGACCTCATTCAGAAGCTCCAACAATAACTGTGTTACTCTAAATAATCCACCCACCTCCATGGCTTCCTCTTTTGACCTTAATCACATTGTTGGAAAGACAGAGCGAGAGAGATTGTCAAGCTACAAGTCAGAGATGTCACCATCCACATCAGACAGCAAAATGTTTCCATCTCACTTCTGGCCACATTACTGGTTTTGAGCTCATTGTAATGAGAGCCCAACCAGACTGACGAAGCTCGCGGCTTACTGCAGAAGCGATTTCTTAGCATAGGGCTTCAGTGACATACTCAGGCCCAAGTTAAAAGAAAGAAAACAATTCAGTAGTTTACAAAAGAACTAGTAGGAGGGGCTAGTGAGATGGCTTCACGGCCAAGGACACTTGTTGCCCTTGCAGAGAACCTGAGCTGGGTTCCCAGCACCCATGTCATCTGGGGAGCTCACAGTCACCTGTAACTCCAGATCCAGGGCATCTTATGCCCTCTTCTGACTTAAGTGGGTATCCACACTCCTGTGGCACACAAACACACTCATTCGAAATAAAATTTATTAAAAAGGAAGGAAGGAAGGAAGGAGGAAAAAGAAGGGGGAGGTAGGAAGAAATAAAGAAGAAATAAAGATAAGTCTAGACATCTTCAAGCTTGGCTCGCTCCTGGCCAGGTAAGGCACCTGAGGGCATAGGGACCCAGAAACTCACCTTAGCATCCTACCGTGGGCAGAATGCAATGGGCAGTTCCCGGTTGGGTACCAGGATGCCGAGATGCAGCATCTCGACAGGTTCATTGTCCGTAGCCACAATCTTATATTTATGGATGATCTGTAACATGCATTGAGACAAAAGCAGAATTAACTCTCCTCTCTCTCTCTCTCTCTCTCTCTCTCTCTCTCTCTCTCTCCATGCCTTGTGGAATAGCCCAGAATGTGGTTCTAGAAATCCAGTGAACTTTTACCCAGCAAAGAGCCAAGTGGAGCTGCAGCTCAGCCAGTCGACGCCCAATGCACATCCTCTTCCCAAGGCCAAAGGGGAGGTGGGCAAAGGGATTGATCTTTCTCTCCTTTTGAAGCCAGCGTTCAGGTTTAAACTGACTGGAATCTTCAAAGTTGTCTTCACTGGAGCCCAGCACCTGGGTATTTAGCATTAACACCGTCTAAAAAACACACAGAAAGAGACGATACTTTCAAAAATTAGGAGCAAAAGTAATTCACAGAAACACAATAACGATGGTGGATTGTTTGACATGTGTTAGTGAGAGTATGATATATGTGTCTATGTGTGGGGTAGCACATATACCCATGCGCACATGCAGAGGCAAGAGGAGGGCACCTGATGTCCTCTATCACACTTCACCTTAGTCCTTTGAGACAGGGTTTCTCCATGAACCTCGATTTAAGCTGGCAGTCAGCAAGGCCCACTGATCCTCTGTCTGTCCTGCACGATGCTGACCCAAACAACCACATCCGATTTTCTACACGGGTATTGGGGATTCAAATCCAGATCCTCACACATGTACAGCATAATCTGACCTACTGAAACCCCTCCCCATTCCCAGAGCTCTACATGTTTGGGTTTCATGCTCGTGATCACCTCCTTCCTATTTTCCCGATGAAGAGGAGGGTGAATCTTTCTACGGCTCTCCAGAATGAATGCTCTCCTGGTGAAAAGTTTCGGGAAGATGGGATAGACTCTTAGGAAGTGTAACCTTGTCAGGTTTTGCTAAGGAACAGATGTGTAAATTCTACTTACTCCTTTGGGCAAAGCGTAGTCACCCAGAACCGTCGGCTTGTCGAGAGTCCGAGTTGTAAACGGCACACTTGGGGTAAGCCTGAAAAATCACAACTGGAGTTGTAAAAGTGGCCACAGACCACACTTGGATGTGGCATTAGGAACAGAGACAGAGTGAGAAGGGGAGATGCTGTCAAAGTCCAGTCAGGGTGAGAAAGAAATCCTCTTTCTTATCCTGAGGGACTATTGGCCACTGACAGCTGCTGGGGAACTGAGGGAAGGCAAAGGATCTGCGTGGAGTTGGGGGAGGGGGTGAATATGATCAAGACACAGTGTATGAATCCACAAAGAATTCAGTTTTTATAAAAAACAAATCCCTCCTTCTCAATATGTTTTTCTCTTCTTTCTTATCACGTTAGTTAAATTTCTTCTACAAGGCTGGCTAGTGGCTCATCGATTATTCTGTTCCATTCAATCTGTGTGCATCTCGCGCCTCACCCAAAGCCTGCATCTCTTCTACTCTATGGCTGTCTGCTCTCCACAAATGTGGTGCTGTTTCCTTTTGATTCGAAGGCTGGAAGTTTCCTTTCCAGGAAGAGCTAGAGGCTAAAAGACCAAGAGGTCTGCCTCTGTGTTTTCTTGCTTTGCCTTCATCTCCAGCCCTACAACCACAGCAGGCTCCCTCCTACTGATAGCGTCTTTCACAGGCAGGCTGTAGGGCTGGCCCCTGAGGTTTGGAAAGTGATGAATATAAACCAAGGCCCTTGTCTCTAGCTTTATAGATGCCTATAATCAGCCAGGGGAGGTATCTTGAGGGGAGCCATCTAGAGGTGTCATTGTTATGTCCTAAGAGAATTCTTTTCTAGTGACATAATGTACTGCCCAAAGCAAAAGAGACTTTCTCAAGTATTGACTCAGAGGCATGTCCTTACCTCATGGATTCTTTTAGACAGGCCTTTAAGTAGGGCATATTCCTCACATCTTCCGCCCGGGGCGTCTGGTTTCCGGGCAACACGCTCTGGATTTCCAGAAGAAGTCTTTCTTGCACATGGGGATTCCGGGATAGATTGTAGAGAACCCACAGCAAGCTGTTCGCTGTCTGAAAGGCAAACAGATAAGAGAGTCTGCCGATCAGTCCGCCATCAGGAGAGCCAAAGGTCACGTTTAGAACCACAGCGGAACCGCTTGAGCGCGAACAAATGCGCGTACTACTGACAAGAGCTGGGTAAATGTAGGGACTATCGGGGCTCGTTTCAGACCTAAACGTGACTCCTGCATGGCCTCAAAATAAGAATTGAAGTAGCACTTGTTTAGTGGGCAAAAACTGAGTACAGAAAGGGCAGAAACGCTCTAGTGGTGCCAACGAAAGGCTTTCTAAAGAGATTTTCCCAATGCAGTTGAAGGCATAACGCACTGTCTTTCTGGAATCTAACACAAGTTCTTCCGGCTACACCCTAAATTACCCACAGACATGAAAAGGGTTCTAGCCACATGCAAAATGTCTTCATTTGAGAATGCAATGCCCTGCCGAAAGAGAATGGGGGACAAGGATAAATTCTAATATCGAATTGAGTACGCTAAGAAGCCAGAGGCTGTTTTTGACAAAGACTGGTGGCCTTTCAAGGGGATCTTTGGTGTCTTTCCCGGAGGTAATCAGGAGCAGTCACCATGGTCACCAGCAGGAGCGAGATGCACATGGGGCTCCTCAGCTGACTTAAACCCAACAGTCTCCTAAACATGGCGGTCATGTCCTCCCTCTGCAGACACCAAGGCGCTGGAACTGAAGCCATGGCCCACTCTCACACTAATGGGCAGAGCACAAGACGGGCCAGAGTCAGGTGGTATTTATTATTTTTGGAAGAACATGGCTCCCAGGCAGTCTTCTTCATGTCAGAGGGCCAGTGGCTTTGGTTGCAAATAAACCGTGGATGGCGTTATTACAGGACAGGAAGAGGGTGTGGGCCTCCACATTAAAGGCAATCGAGCCTCTCTGATCCACCCAAGGTGGCTTTCAGAATGAAGGGAACTGGAAAGGAAATGGATCAGGTGTACAGCCATATCAGCGAGCAGCTCACCACAAGTGTCAAATAGGGCTCCATGGGGCTGGGTAAGTTCAGCTTTCACCACATCCCGGGGGTACTGTCTGGGCCCCTCAGGAAGACGGCAGAGCTTAATTCCAGGGGAAGTGGGTAAGGAAACCTCAAGGGCTCAGCCTGTCCTGGCACGACCTTGGTTGGGAGGGGCACCTGTCTCCTTAACTGACCTCTCTAGCAAATTCACTCTCCACCCACCAGCCACAGTCCACTTGTCAAAGCCTAAACTGGCCAGCTTACTCCCTTGCTTAGAAAATGTTCCTTCATGGCGTAAACCACTATCTGAAGTAGCCACGGGTGTGTGCCTTCACATCCACTGTCTCTCTTCACCGCTGCCATCTAAGTTCTATGAGGAACGGGACTTTGCCTCTCATTCGTAGTGGTTCTCTCTCTCTCTCTCTCTCTCTCTCTCTCTCTCTCTCTCTCTCTATATATATATATATATATATATATATACACACATATCTATATACATATATGTATATAGATATATGTGTATATGTTCATAAATATGTATATATACATTCACACACATATATTCCATAGTAGGTGCTCTGTAGTTCTTGACCTCTTTCATTTGTTCAGTAAGCGTTTGTTGACCACCTTATATATGCCATGCGCTCCTTTGTGTTTCTGGAATGACGCTGTAGACAAAGCAAGGCCACAGCTTTCACGGAATTCACACTTCAAACAGAGGAGCCATGGCCCTTGATGCTCTGTGGAAAGGCCTGCCACTCAATCTCACAGGGAGATCAGATCACTTACTGCATTTGTCAATCTCCTGCAGTGGGGGGGGAGAGGGGAGGGGTGTGTTCCTAATACAGGAACCCTGCCTTTCTCCTTCCAGAAGCCTTGAAAGGGAAAAATGCAAAGAAGCAATCAACCGGGGAGGTTTCTGCCTGGAGGCTTTAAGGGGCACAGAATGTGGGACTTTGAAGAGTCTGAGTGCCTGTCACACCAGTGACAGCTTAAGACAGGAATGGGAGGCGGCTGCATGGAGAATTAGGAGAATCAGCTGATGAATTGCACACGAGCTGCTGCATTTAAATCAAAACCAAGCTGTCCCAAGCTCATCTTGTTTATACTTATAAGCAGTAAATGTATTATTAGTCTGGAGGACTGTATTCCGATTTTTATCTCATCTTATTTAAAATATAATCAGCCCACAGGCAGTCACCATGGGGTAGTCTGAGTTATTACTAAAAGGCATCAGTGTGTTTGGTGTGTGTTCATGTCAGGGCACATGTATGTACATGCATGTGGAGGTACATGCATGTGGAGGTACATGCATGTGGAGGTTGGAGGCTAACATCAGGTATCTTCCTTAACCACTCTCTACCTTATTGTTTGAGGCAGGGTCTCTCACTGGTCTAGCTACTCTGCCTGTCCCCTGCAGCCTCCTTTCTCCACGTCCCCAGCCCTGTCATTGCCCATCTGGGCCACTTCACCTGGCTTTTTTTTTTTTAATCAGATCCTCATGGAGGCACAGACAGTACTTTACCAACTGAGCTATCTCTCCATCCCTCAAGCTTGAGAAACTTAAGTTATCTTGCCAGATCATGGGCTTCCAAATTCAGTCATGGTGCTGGGCAGAGCCTACTCATGGCGCTATCATTGGAGCTCACATTATTACGCACAATCCCTGCCATGCCCTTAAGCACCGAAAGGCCAAGCTTTGCGTCCCCCATGGCGCCCACTATGGAATGCTTACTGCTGGTTTCGTGAGACTGTAGCTACTCGGGTAATTCTGGTGGAGAGAATGATTTCCGCATATGCTTAAAAAGTCAGCGTTCGGCCAAGCGAGTCCCCGCCCACCCTCACCGTCTCCACCGCAGCCAGCTGGAGCTCCGTGACAGCCGCGTACAGTTCTTTCTTGGAAAGATGATTGCGGTGGTAAATGTCGCAAAGGAAATCTGCGCCAGGCTGCTGGGAATATTTCTCCAAGCGGTTGTCGATGCAAGGCTTTACTGTGTGACAGAGTCAGAAAGGAGAGAGAGCCTGAAAATTCGCGTGAGGGCAAGAACCCAAGAAGACCTTGCGACACTGAATCTTTTCAGGGACACTGATAATTTACTAGACAGGTGTCCAGTGACTGTTCTTGCTACACTGGCAAGGACTGGTCAAGGCAGACAAGGATGGATTTCTCAGGATCCGTGGGCATCTTCTAAAAGTGTTGATTCAGAATCAGTGATTGGGGAGCCTGAAGCCAGTCTCTCTCTTTCTTCAGACTGGGACTCACTATGTAGCCCTAGCTGGTCTGGAGCTTGGTCTGGACCGTGCTCTGTAGCCCAGGCTGGCCTCAGCTATCTGCCTGTCTCTGTCTCTAGAGTGCTGGTACCACCCACATAGTGTAGGCGCCACTATGTATCGCCTTGAAGTCTGCATTTCTATCAAGCCCTGCGCAGGTTCTCCTGGTCTGTAGCCACCTTTTGATGAACAAGAGCTCAGTGCCCAGAAGGGATCAGCATGAGAGGGGATGAGAACTGGCCTTATGTGCATATTCCAAGCTTGGCTGTAGATATTACTAAACATTCATACAAGTACAGTGCCTGGGAATACTGTTGACACTCAAACTATTTAGCATTTATGAAACACTCAGACAACTGTCTCTCTCACTCCAATTCGTTACGTGGGCAGACACCGAATTAAAATCACCATGGAGCCAGTGGGCAGGGTGACTGCCTGTGGTGTAGCTCACACTTCAGTCTGAAGCATGGCCTGGTCTGGAGTCTTGGGAAAGCCGCTTAAGCGTGTCTCCGGACCATTGCTTGCAGGCTCTTGGAAGAGTGAGAAGGGTTTGCGTAAGGGTTAAACATATGCACGACTCCTAACGCCCCTATCTATTTCTATCATGGAGCAGAAATAGCCCTAACCACCAAAATACTGTAATCTACCCAATGCTTGTGCGCACTAAATGTTGTACCAAAGTGGAAATTGCTGCCAGTCATTATTTTAAAGATGGAGCAATCAAGGATGAAAAGGTGGTGACACACAGGCCTAAGTCACCACACATGGACTCAAGGCTGTCTCTGAAACTCTTCCCTGAGCCACCGTCAGCTTGCAGAGTGGATGACAGAAAGCTGCTTCCCGCTGCCCCTCCCCCACCCCGCTATGCTCATGACTTTGGAAAGCTGTAGAGAGGAGCGGAAGCATCGCCATGGGAAGATCATGACGACCCAGGCAGGTAGACCACACGAGGCCTGTCCTGGATACAGGACAACTGGATTGCCGTGGGCAGGGGGAAGGGAGGCCCTCTCACCTGATTTGAAAATGGTGTCCCAGGCCAGAGTGTGCGCCTGCCACACTTTGGTGTTGAGGCTCTTGTGCAGCTCCACGGGGGTCACCATCATCTTCCCAAACGTGCTCATCATCTGGAAGAAACACAAGAACTCGGACCCTGCATTCTTCTCTCTAAGCCAGCGTTCTCTTGGAGGGGGAGGATCCTAAATTAGACTCCTGCATCTCCAAAAGGTGGGACTCAATGGCCCTCCAGCTCCCTCATATCTCAAAGATGGCTTTGTGCTCTGTGTTTAACGAAAAGTATAAGTCTCATGACCCTTCTGATACACACACACACATTCATACATATGCACACATACACACGAACATACACACACACACACACACACATTTGGTTATATTAGGACTCAAACCTAGGGCCTTTTGGTTACTAAAAAGGCATCCATTATAGAGCTAAGCTATATTCCTTTTATTTTATTTTTTTTATTTTAGACAAAGGGTCATTGCATTCCTAGGCTGCCCTTGCAGTCACTCTGCAGTCCCAACCAGTTTCAGACTTGGAATTATGTTGCCTTAGTACCTCGACCCAGCGCAGGTATGACAGGCCTGTGCCACCATCCCAGTTTTTATGTGGTCTAATTGCAAAGGAAGAAAAAAGAACTGGACAACTATAATTTGTCTAGCGAGTCCAGCTCCTGAATACCACAGAATCCTTAGCTAATCCCAAATCAATTTCACTGCGTCTATGATATCTCAGGTTACCCACACTATTCAAAAGTGTAAAACCTGAAATATTCTGAAACTTTAAAAAGGTACCTTTGAACCAAGTGACCATTAGTCGAGACACCTTAAGTATGTTTAAAATGATTTTTTGTAGTAAAATAACTTTGCTTAGACTAATAAATAATAGGCTTTTTTGTATGTTTGTGATTGGTGCACATGAATATATTAAAATACAGATATCAAAGTGAATGGACTAATTATGAAAATACTTAAGTGTGTACACTCCTCCTTGGGAGACACAGGGACAAGTTCTGTTAGGCTGCCCAGAGAGACGGCTTACCGTCTTGATGGCCGTGATGAAGGTCAGAGCTTCTTCCTCAGCATTCTCCTGGAGGAGCCCAAATCTCTTCTCGTATAATACAAGGCAGATGCCTGTCATTGAGAATAATCACTACTGTTATTGAATCATAGCATGCCAGAGTCTATGATTAGCTGGCTTTTAAAGACTGAGTCCTGTGTCTCATGGCATTGTGGTCTCTTCTGGAAGGAAAGCAACATTTCAAAGAGTGAGAAAGGAGGCCAGGGACACTCTCTTCCCCCTCGAGACATCATTTCTGGGAGCAAATGACCCATGAGCTTTCCATCCTGATGAGAGACGCACCGTCCACACCAGTCCCAGGGAGGTGAGGAC